GGGTATGTGGCATTATGTGTTTATAAAAGCACACATAGCAAATAGTCTAGTGTGACAAGGCTTAAAAAAATATAAAAAATCAAGAAACAAACAATTTTCTTTCACTTATTAGGTAACAGTTTTGAAGGTATTTTTATATGATATGACCACAAACGAGCAGGCGGTTTACCTGATGGTAAGCAATCAAGCCGACCATGGACAACGGAGGAGTTACGAGTCTATTGCTGACCTTTTTGGGAAATTTAGGGAGGGGAATGTTTGGGCCTCCGGTCAGCTCACTCACACGGCGAAACACCACACGTCGGTTTTCTGTGAGGCCGTGGTATCACTCCGGCCGAGCAGACTAAGTCGTAACGAAGCATGACTTTCCCACATTTCATTTAATTTTGTTAATGGAGGCTGTGTCATGCACTAACGATGCATGCTATGATCACACTTGTTTTTTTTTCGGCAAACGAGCAGACGGATTACCTGATGGTAAGCAATCATCGCCGCCCATGGACACCCGCAACGGAGGAGTTACGAGTGCGTTGCCGACCTTTTAGGGATTAGGGATTTGGAAATTTAGGGATTGGGGAAGGGTCCGGGAAGGGGAAGGATTGGGCCTCCGGTAACCTCACTCACACGGCGAAACACAACGCTGTGGTTGTTTCACGCCGGTTTTCTGTGAGGCCGTGGTATCACTCCGGTCGAGCCGACCCATTCGTGCTGAAGCATGGCTCTCCCACATATCTTGTTATTTTAATTAAAACATTACGATTCTACTTAATTAATCATAATTCTAGCTTTATGGATTTAGAAACCGCATCTCACTGCCCTACCAAACAGCAGTATGTGATAATAAAATCTGTGTTTATTAAATGTCAAAACAAAAAATGATGCGTACGTACTAGCAAATTCGATACGGTCGGCTCTCAAAAAGATAACATCGAATCCCGCACTACTAAACAAAAGCTACTGCAATATGCCTGAGTGATAACGATTGATAAGAGGCTCAGTAGCCATTTGTTATGATGACTGCAGGCTCATTGTCATAACAATATCTCCTAAATGTGTTTAAATCCGGATCACAAGAACAGCCTATATGCGAGTTCTTTTTTTTTGTGAGGGGAATATCATCAAATGACTTCTCCCGCCGAGGGTCGGGCGGGAGGGAGTGTCAGACTCTTACTGACTAAAAACCCCCCTGTTCCTGCTCTAGGCCGAGGTCGCGGTGCCTCATTGCGCTTACCCCGCAACCCCGACTGAACATTAGCCCTATGGGGCCCCGTCTGTGGTGGTCTATTGCGAGGCCATGGTGCGGAGCGAGAGGAACTGGGAAGCCGTCTCTTCTTTGTGCGAATGCGAAGCCTCGTGCTAGACTCTGGATCTAACTTACTGGATCTGGGTTTAAGAAGGAGTACAGTTTTATAGGATCAGAATGAACTTTCCTATAGGGTCTGACACGACGTTCGATGTATAACTGAGAGTTTTCCAAAGTCAAAATACATAGTACAGGCGAAGGTTCCAATTTACTTAGAGAAGAAACCACCCCTCCCCCCAAAATATAACGTGGATGCACTTCTGTTAAAAAACTCTTGTTTAATTAACCTGTTAAATTAATTAGAATAGTTTGAAGAGAATTATCACGTGAAGGTCGCGCCAAGATAACCGAGATCGGATCACTATGATGGATACTTGTTATCTTACTTCAGTGTATATAATGCGCATACAAGTATTATATGTAATAGTATGTTACGTGGACAGAAGCATTTTGAAGCGAGACTTACTATTTTTTTTATCACAAACTAGATTTTTCTTAACTGAAGGTCGCAGAGGGTAGATAGTGATGCATGAAAAGTGTGGGAGAGTCATACTCCGGCCTCACAGAAAATCGGCGGGAAGCAATACTTACGTTATGTTTCGCCGTGTGATTGAGGTCATCGGAGACCCATCCTTTCCACTCCCTCCCTATCCTCAATCCTCAAATCCTCCATGGATACTTATAATCCACAAGAGGAAAGTAACGCATTTGGCATTACGAGTGTCCATGTACCAGTTATCTGCGTTCTGACAGTTTGAGTACTTGCGTGACCCAACCAAATGTTCTTTAGATTGGTATTGTTCGTCGGACAACTCAGCAGCACTTGCTATGCTGGTTGCAAACTGACACTTGCGTGCCTGTCTTCAGAACGGGTCCACTTAAACTGGTGTGGTTCTTTCATCAAAAGACTACTACAGAATGAACTTGCACGGTTCTCTCACATTATGTTATTTTTACATTGTCTGGACTTGAAAAGAGACTGACCTCTGAGTTTGTTTCGGCATTTCTTCTCAGAGTAGTCAGATAGGAAATGCCGGCTTCATCTAGTTTTTTACATATAAATTAACGTGTAAAAGTGCAGTTTTATGGCCTATTTGCAAAAATAAATTCATTGTTTCATTGTTTCCATGTGCGGCGCCGATTGGTAATCTGGTATCATCAGGTAATCTGGGCGCTATATTGTTTTATTCTATGCTGGTGCCGTCCGGTCCTGATTTATTATCAGTCTCCAATGGATCTCTAGGGTCTCTGCTATACCTCCATTACGCTGCCGGTGCAACGATAAACTTAAGATACAGATCTAAACTATTTAATGGCTAAACCCGGCTCTTTTGTTAGACCACTTAACTCTATGGAACCAAGATAACTAACTGCTCTAGATTATTCCCCCTAATTTCGGCTCGTTTTATGAACCTTTTGGGAAATGATATAAAAGATGCAATTTAATTGTTGGTTTAACAATTATTTATTTATTTAAACATCTTCTTCACACTAAACAGCCTGAATGGCAGACGCAACGTCGTAAGCCATTCTCTAGTTAACCATAGGGTAGTGCAGAGAAACCAAGCGGTTGGTGAGACGAGAAAGAATGAAAAGAAACAAAAACAAATATTATTCTTTATCAAATAATTACTATATACGAAAATAAGTAAATAAAAAAATAATAGAATAATATAACAGAATACATATTAATACATTAATATTTATACATATAATACATAATATGGTTATATTAAATTAAACGATTCAACTTTCCAACTTAACCGTCAATAATTGCGTTGGAGAGCCATGTTTCGGCACGTATGGGTCAGTTCGACCGGAGTGATACCACGGCCTCACCGAAAACCGACGTGAATCAACCACAGCGTTGTGTTTAGCCGTGTGAATGGCGTTACCGGAGGCCCAATCCCTCCCCCTCTCCTATCCCTTCCCAATCCTTAAATAACAGCTACCCTTACACCAAAAAGGCCGGCAACGCACTAGTAACTCCTATTGATGTTACGGGTGTTATAACGCTTTCAATCTCATTAGGCGCTTACCGATTTTTTTATATAATAAAATGTTTGTTGTAAGTAAGTAATTAATTAATCAAATAAAATGTCTTTAATTAATCCAGCCAAAATGACAAATGTCAAAAATAAATTATGGGTGGCGAAGATTGCTTACCATCAGGTAATCCATCTGCACGTTAGCCGATAGCCGACTTATGCAATTAAACAAAAAAATTGTTATATCTTGTAAGTATAAACGGAAGCAACTAACATCTAAGATGAGGTTACGGGTCAAGCGCAATAATGCACCTCGGCGTCGGTCGGGAGCAGAAGAAAGTAAGGGGGGGGGGGGGGGGGGGGGGGGGGGAGGTTTAGTCAGTGCTATTCTGACTTCACTCTCACTGACTAAAAACCACACCGTATCTTTTTTTTACTAAGCCGCTTACTCTCGTAAGTCAAGCCTCTTCCTCGACATATTGACGTACCTGTTGTGCTGTGCATGCACAATCATCATCAGTAACCATTTGTTAACTTTACTATGTTAACACTCAAGTATTCCAACGGATAAAAATCTCCATTCCTTCAAAATCTTTTGTAATTTTACATAAACACACCTTCATAGGTAAATTTGTACAATACCTAATTGTGCCTATTAAAATAATAATAGCAAAACATCGACTGAAATTTAGTTTAACAATCTCATTAGGCGCTTTCCGATTTTTTTGTATAATAAAATGTTTGTTCTGGGTAATTAATTAATCAAATAAAATGTCTTTAATTCATCCAGCCAAAATGTCAAAAATAAATTATTTAATGTCATATGCCTATAAAACTGATCTTTAAATCTGTACGGTAAAACGGGATGAATAGAATTCAAATTCTATTCACCCCATTTTATGGTACTTACCCAATTACTTATATTATGAAAATGTTACAATTTTAATCATTTTATGTTGGTATTTCGTTGTTTTTTCATGCAGCACTTCTGCAGCATGTTACAGAACTTGATAAGGGTAGATAAGTAATTTTAGATATGGAATTGTTAATAAGTGGTGCCATGGAAACATAGCTTTGGTGGAAAAGGTGTCATTTTAGGGACATCATCCCTCAGCATGTCCAAATCTAAATGCGTTGTCTTTCTCTTTTTAGAATTATTTTTCCGTTCAAATAATGAGGAGTTAGGAGGAGCAAACCTCTAAAATCGATCTACAACACTCGGACCACTGCATATTAAAAATTTCACGAAATTGTCATAGGTATACAAATGACGACTACTAACGAGGCATTGTATTATTTATAAGCTTTATCATTAAAATTAAATGTTTTTATATGCATACGTCACAATATGCCATAATACCATATTTAAATATAATTGTAAATTGTCCTCAACCGCTCCCGGGTGAATCACTAACACATATCAATAAGGATTGCTACAAAATGTTTTCTATTAAAACTTGAAAAAATAAATATTGTTTTATCAATCACTTTAGCGAAAGAGGATGATAAGATATAGGCCCACCACATGCATTGCAGTTTTAGTCCGTGACTGCCGCGGTCGCGGGTATAAACTTGTATAAAAGATATTACTATTGTAGCATGTACTCCTATTAATTGTATGGCTACAACTGTCAGTAATATTTTGTTATTTAAACAGCCTCATTAGTTTCAAAATATACCAATTAACAAATCTAGCTAACGCGACGGGTGTGATGTGTGCAGTTAAAAATCGCATCGTGAGTTAGCAGCCTAAACGGCTCTTAGTGTTTCGGCTTATCTCTAATATTCATATTTATTGTACCTACTGACATGTTTTGCAGTATCAGTCGCCACTGACACACCAAACTTGCAACACGTTAAATTACAACGCACAAAAATTACGTGAATAAAGTTAGTGTACGAAATACTTGTATTACAAGATAACATAAAAATGCAAAATGAAAATGGTGAGGCTGCAACACCTGCTAAACGGCCATTGCTTGACCCAAACGTGAGCGGCAACGGGGCAACAGAACAAGTCGACCGGGACGCGAGACTGGTGAGAATGTTCTGCGAAAGCTTGTTCTCCTACAATATTATAGATGATAGAAGTTGGCAAAACTTTTTCAAATATGAATTCCCAAATTATCAAATGCCGTCTGTGAGAACGTTCTTAGCGAGACTCGTTCCGGCTCAGTACAATAAAGAAAGAAACACATTGATAACCATGTTGCAATCTGTGAAACACCTCGCAGTCACAATAAACCTTTGGAAGATCGGAGTGACGGAGCGCAGGCGCGGCCGGAGCGTGTACAGTGTCACCATACATTTTATACACAAAGGAAAGCTTATCCACCAATATTTGTTCACAAAACCTAGCGTAAGAAACGACGATAACATAGTGACAATATTAAAAGAAGAGTTAACCCGATGGAACGTCTATAACAAGATCGTGCTCTGTGTTGCTAGTCGCGCTATATCTGCAAAGCTTTACGGCTTACATAAGAACTTCCACACATGTGTAGCTAGCTCCATACAAGTAATTTTGAAACCGCTTTTTGACGAAATAGAGAAAAGAATACTATCAAACCAGAACCCCCAGAAGAAGAAAGATCCGTTTACTTGGCATAGTCAATACTTAATGTTGAAAAATATTGCTGAAAGTGTAAATGATATCAACGACGAGAAGAAGATATTTGAGGAATACATTAAACTTTTAAAACCGTTCGAAGATCTCACAAAAATGCTGTCTATTGAGCAATATCAGAGTCTATCGTACGTCATCCCCATCTTAGCTGGTTTAAAATCACAATTAAATGAGTGCCCTCTTAGAACGGATTTGGCAATTCAATGGAAGAAGGTACTTGTGCGAGAAGTATCTTCTTTGTTCGAGGAATCCGTCGTCAGCAATAAACATGTGGCAACATTCTTGGATCCCAGGTTTAAGGACGCATTCTTCGTAGATACAAACATGGCAAAGTCTGTGCGAGATAAGGTCATTAACGAAATAGAAGATTATGGTAGATCCAGTTTAAATAACAACAGTCAAGTCACTACAGACATTCCCTCCACGTCTTCTGCACCAGATCCTCAGAGAGCAGTTCCAGTAAATTCAGTCAACCACACAGAGACAAATGAAAACAGTTTGCTAAAGTATTTAGACAGCAGGTTACTGGCTACACCCCTAACGAATACTTTATCTGCTGGATTGAAGGTAGAACGATATATCGACTTGGATCGCTTAGGTCGAGGAGAAGATCCTTATATGTATTGGGAGCAGCTTGGAGATATACCTAAGTACAAAGAGTTGTTCGATATGTCACAGAAGTATTTGTGCATGCCTGCCACCGCGGTGCCGGTCGAAACAGTGTCTGGAGAGTACATTTGGAATCCGCACATCAAAGTCGATGATTATAATGATCGGAAAAATTGCATGGAAGCTGAAAAATTTAATGAAATATTATTTTTGCACAGTTTTTACTCGAGAACTTCAGACAATTAAATGGAATACACTGCCTCGTCCTCGAACAGTCGTGATGAGTTATTCGTAAGTGCTGATCGTCTTTCTTGTCGGAGATCTTTAATAACTTAAATATTTTCACTAACCATTCTAAATATAACATTGCATAGATTTGTCTCAATAACATTTTATATTAAAATTAAGATAACGTATATGTATGATAATCTTTCGCTCTAAAATTACTGAGCAAGATCGAATACAATCACAGCCTGTACTTATATGTACATTCATTCCTCTCAGTTAATTCCGGCATTTCTTTTAGAGTACTCAGATAGCAAATACCAGGTTTTGTTTTTATATAATCCTGACTTGTAAAAGTGTTTTTATGGTGTAGTTGCAAATAAATTAATTGTTCATTGTTTTAATTATAGTTTGAAAGAACAAAAGCCTTCTGCGAAAGAACTCCACAGTTTTAATGATAATGTGACTGTTTATAAATAGGCTAATGATTTTTGACTGTGCTAACATAGTGATCAGATAGCTAAAACTGTCTATGACATATAATATTTAAATATTTAATAATATTGTTTTTCTTTTGTAACTTTTTCATAATATAATTTATTATTAACAAATTCGTTGTTTCTTTTAGCATTTTCCGATGTACCTAGCCTCTTGTCGTAAAAAGTTAAATAGGCATTTTTTCACACTTAACTATTCCCAAACGCGCTGCACTTTTCGTACTACTTCAGTTATATACATATGTATTTAGGTATTAGCAAGATATTTTAATAATGGGTTAGTGTTAAAAAGTTGCCTTGTAAATATCATTAATAATATGTATTTTTTTTAAATCGCATCCTCTTTTTATGTTCTTCCGGGTATGTTTGTGATCGTATAAAAGCAACTTGCATTTTACTGATGTCACAATCAACTCTAATATCATTAAATATTTATCAATTGCTACACAAAAATTCTGCATAGTCACGATTACTAACGTAAAACAATTTTACGTGAAACATGACAACGTCGCATTTTCTTCGATACGAATAATTGGAAACCTCGATACTAAGAAAAATTGAGGTTCGAAGTTTGGCAACCTTGCAAACATAGAGATTCGTTATTCTGAGGACCTACCATGACGTTTTAAAGCGTAAATCTTTCGGGCGAGAAAGAGGGATGGAGCTATGCACCTTTTATAGCTCCATCCCTCTTTCTCGCGCATGGTTCACGTTGTAGGCCTTCTGATCACAATATTGGACTCATTTAAGGAGAGCTGATGATATATCTAAAACTATCCTGTTTTGGACTGAATCTAGGAGTTTTGATATGATTTTAACCTACAAAATAACTCTTTTTTGTGGAGGGAAAATCATAAAATGATGTGGATGGTGTCTCGCATACAGTGTATGGTAATATAAACCAACCGCCTTCTTCTTCTGCACCACGCCGAGGCCGCGTTACCTTATTACGATTGACCAGCGGCTAAACAGAATAACCCAAGAGTAATGGAAGTAAATATCAAAAAACAACATGTGGTTTATGCTATAAGCTATATAAGTCTCGGTAATCAATAATTAGAAAATGAGGGAATACTCACATCTGGCAGAATGGCAACCAGCTCGACGTGTTGGTAGTCGCCCGCAGCAAGTGTAGGGCTCTGCCACCAGGTGGCAGGGTTGTTGTCGTGCGCGTGCGCAGCCGGGTGGCGCCGCCACGCAGACCCGCCGTCACCTTCACACACATCACACACCACACCACGCCTGCCACACAATCCTTATATTAGTTTTTGTTAACATTTACTCATTCTCAAAATTATTTACCAAACGATTTTTAAATCTTTTTTCGTGAAATGTTATTTTAAGTGCTCAATTATGTTTCTGGTTATATCCGTTCTGGATATAAGTTTTCTTTTTTTTAATAAAATACTCTATGATTTTCTCCTGTCATGGGTGCGGTTACAAACAAACCAGAAAAAACAATTTGTGGATCACACAAAGTGTTGTTGAACCTGCGACACATTGCACGGCAGCCAGTTGCCCAGCCACCGCACCAACCACACAGGAGAAAATCATAAGGTGGGGCGTGGGGCAATGTTCTGTTAAAAATAACTATTTGGAGAAGCTGGTCAAGTTAGTGCCAAGAACATAGTAAGTACATACCTATATATATATTTTTAAGTTAATTATATATCTGTCCTTCTTTGAACTTACTTTCCTGGCGTGTCGCGGCAGTACTCCTCGGTGCCTGCGTGGCCGCAGGTGGCGTTGGCATACACGCTGGAGTAGGGAGCTACGTCCAGCGGCGCTGGCATCAAGCCACTGCCTGCTGTGGATACCACCTCACTCAGCGTCGTACTCGACAGACGATCCAGTAGGGCACGACCTATGACAAAATAAACCAAGCTGATTACCCCCTTATAAAAAAAAACTAGCTTTCACCCGCGTGGTATGTTGATAAAAAGTTATGTCCAATCCCGGAATGTATCCTTTGCCTGTATCAAATGTTTATCTAAATCCGTCCAGTAGTTTACGCGTGATTGAGTAACAAACATGCAAACATCGTTACAACAACAAACAACTTTCGCATTTAAGTATAATCTTAGAAAGACAAGACGACCTAGACTAAAAAAACCTTGTTTTGTAACGAGGCCGTTTTCAGGAAACCATTTAAAAGCTGTAATTAAAAAAAAAACTATAGAACGAATGTTAAATCTGCCATAAGTGATCCAATGATTTCTTTATGGATTTAGCTCGCCTGTTACTTATTACTTTTGGACGTCTTATAAGGGAAATAAAGACTAAATTATCGCATCTGTTTGGATTTATATAAGTATACTAGCGGACCCTCTCAGAAAACCCCCACACATCAAATTTCAGCAAAATCGTTAGGGCAGTTTCCGAGATAACATGCGTTTTCAAGCAATCAGCGCCATCTGCTGGACTGATTTATGAATCTAAACCATCCAGGGCGCCACTCTAACGCATACAGAAAAAATAATTGAAATCGGTCAAGCCGTTTAGGAGGAGTTCAATGACATACACACGTACAGTAGAATTATATATTATAAAGATATAAGTATGAAGGCACCGGGGGGTTGGTACAAACATCAACATCCCGATCATCGTCTTCACAGTCCATCGCAGGGCGTAGGATTTTATAATCATACCGAATAAATTACAAAAATAACGGACGTCGGCGATCCGTCTCAGATGACAGTTACAGTGCTAGCTCTCCACCATAATGCTCACGCAGAACTGTCAGTTTGAATTTCCTCCAGAGTACGATTCATTGTACCCTCGTCCGATGAATTGTGATAAAACCTCCTTCAAAATTCAATTTAAATAATCGACGCGTCGTCAAGTATATAGATATCGTTCGTACATTTTAATATAGAATGATCCTTAGTTCGTCGCATTCCTTTAAATCATTGTAACTAGCATTCCAGTAGAATACTTGTGGTTAGAGGTGACTGCAAACTCATAAGGAATTATATTCCGAACTGGAACAACAGGTTGTTAGCCACAAAGACTACTCCTCCTTTCGCCGTCCTACCACATAATAAAAAAAGAGCTGACTGATAACCTGACGGTGAGCAATTAGCTCTACTTATGGACACCCGAAACCACGGAGGAGTTACGAGTGCGTTGCCGACTTTTGGATATTAGGGATTGGTAAAGGGGAAGGATTGGGCCTCTGGTAACCTTACTCACACGGCGAAATACAACCCTATGGTTGTTTAACGCCGGTTTTCTATGAGGCCGTGGTATCACTCCGGTCAAGCGGACCCGTTCGTGCCGAAGCATGGCACTAACACTTGATCTAAACATAAGTGAAACATTCGTTCAATACACCGGCGCACGCGCCGTAACTTAAACATTTATGTTACGACGTGATCTGTTTGTAACTGACAGCGCTGCCTACCCCCCTTTGTTTACACAGCGCTACCGAGTGAGATGAGTGAAACCTACTATAATTGGTTAATCTAGTGGTCCCACACAAACATTCTTCAAAAAACAAATTAGGGGGGATCTTTTTACGATTAAAGAAATCTATTTTCTTTTGAAAGACAATAATTTTAATGATAATATCCTGTATTTTTTCTTTTCATTATTGAATGACAAGATCTAGGTACCTTGTGAAAAAAAATCTGCCTCATAAGCTTCATTAGTAAGAATGTAAAAATCCTTTTGTTTAAGTTGTGTGAACTATTTTTTATTTGTTTTTAAGTTTATCTGCCTAGTCCCCGTGGAGTTTTTATTCAAATGAGCGTTGATATCAGTGACTGGCTGGATTTGCATTCGTGAAGCGTCGAGACAGACACTCCGGCGACTAATTGGCATGGCAAGTGCAGAGATAGGCGCAGGCGCAGCCGCCTGTGACGTCACCTGTCGTGATCTTCGATACTGTTTTAAAGCACTTTTAGTTCATTCGATACTTAGAATATTTTGGTATCTTTTATTTACACCTACATAGGTACCAAAATACGAAAAAAAAACGCCACATATTTTTTCTTCTTTTTTTTCTCTGATCATTCTTGATAACATAAAGTGGTGTTCTGTGTATAAGAATAGACTCAATCTCTACGACATGGGATCTGTAGTGTGATTCTGTAAGACTTCATTCTAAACTTCGAATCTGAATCCGCCGTGAGTAGTAGTGCACTAGCTACACTTGCGAGTTAAACTAAATTCACAGCAACATTTTGATAGATCAAGTATGAGATGACGTTAAAAGTGGCATTCTCAAATTTTATTTACTCGTCACTTCGACGCTCACTTCGGACTCGAACAAGATTCAAAATCAAACATATTTTATAGAATCGACGTGCTGGGCGAGGTACACAAAATTTTTATCTAAATAGTTCCGTGCTACGAATGTGTACCCCGGCCCAATTTTCAATTACAAAAATCGTCGCTCGGGGTTGCTTTGACAAAACCGAAGATTTGGAAATTTGCCAAAGAACCAAAGAAACAAACATATTATTATCTAACTCGTAAATTCTTGATAGTGGCCAGGCAATTGCTTGAAGCACTGACGGCCGATGTTAGCGGAAAGTGCTCGAGTGACGGCCACGGACTGCAAGACGTAGCATTGGCAGGGCTCTCGCAATAAAAATACTTATATTATAAGTGGGGAGTTATTATTCAAATGTGGAGGACTAAGGGGAAGGTCATTGTTCAGCGGTGGACGTCTTCCGGCTGACGATGATCTAACGACCTTTTACTAACCTCCAACCTCATCATCAACTGACGCCAATAAAGTTCTGTAGGCACAATTTGCTTTGAACAAACCGCGACACCTGCTAGCGCATACTGCCTTCACTGCCTATCCCATTGTTCAGCAATATTATAGTTTGTTATTAATTCACACATTCATGGATAGGCACGAACTGCAATTATTTTCCAAGGGAAATGTTAAAACACTCGAGTTTTATATTGTTCGATGGATCGTGACGGCACATTTATGTTAGAAAGTGTGTGTTCCACCAGATCCCCATCTAATACTAACATTTAACCATCGCTCAATACATATACCTATATATGTACAAATATTACAAGCACTGCGACGAACAATGAAAAAAGAAACATTGATCGCATAAATTACAAAACGACCTCCTCAAAATGGATAGTTATCCTCGAAAAAGGAGTGCAATGTAAAAAGACGGCTGTTCCGTGGGAGCGCGATGTCCTCCGGCCCTCTGGGCTCCATTAAGCTCATTAGACCTCACCAAATATGGGCAGGAGTCGCGTTTTTGTGGGGACACTCCAGACGGACTGATGGGGACGACCGATGTTGAAACGGTACGATAAAATGCCGACGTGTCGAGCCGAGTCCATTTGCTACTGCGAGTGACCTGTTGTATCCACAATAACTTCCATCTTGATGTCATGTCCTGACAATGTTAGTTTCTCACTTATATATTGTTCACACGACTACATAATGGTATCTTGCAGTGGCCCCATAGTGACTTGCTCAGATAATTGGAGTATTTTCGAGGCGGGGAAATTATCAAACGACTCCTCTTGCTTTGGGTAGGCCGAGTGAGAGAATGCATGGCTCTTACTGACTTAAAACCACCCCGTTCCCTTCTTCTGCTTCAGGTGGTAATCACGATAATGAGCTGTAATTATGCTACATTTATCGGCAATATAAGTCTCAACACATCGACTACGGAGCCCATCGCACGTGGAATGCAATGAGCGATGGCCACGGAAAGGAATGCCCTCACCCCACGAGCTTGGAATAGGGTTGTCTAATGAGGTGATAAAGCAATTTTTTACGAGTTTCTACATTTCAGTTACTGTTTCTTAAAAATGTTTCAATTAGTATTTTGCAAAACGATTGCTGTATAATTTTAGAATCGGTTATGTATGATTTAATCAAAAAGTTATTGTATATGTAAATATTAGTAGGCACGTGGTTTATACTGACGACATAACTCTACTTTCTACCTAAATAAAAGTTACTGTGTTACAGAATGCCTTCAAGAACTTAGAAATTAACGGGATGCAAACTCACGTCCCTAGAAGCGAAGGATCAACGGCTTCTTGTTATCCTGTTTTAGATCGAATTCCATACAAGCAGTCGACTCATGCGCAAGCGCATCTATTCATTCGTATAAGGCTACTAAGCCTAGCTGTTTAGGTGATAAATCACGCCCAATCCAGGTTACTCGTCTCCGGGTTTTAAATGAAATTACTCAAGTAAACACATGTTTTAACTGTAAAAATTTTTTTTGTTAATTAAATATATTGAATAAATAATAAAATTATTCGACCCGCGAATTTTGCGCTCTATAATTTCTTATACTCAATTTCAATAAGATGAAGAATGATTTCGTGTAAATAGTACAAATAATAATGTTAGAAAAGCCAAACCAAAATTATAATTTTACAAATTAAAAAAATCTCATTAATTCTCTAAAAGTTTCACAAAATCGTACACTAGACCCAAATTTTTAGGTAGGTATTTTTATACAATTGTAATAATGTATTTACAAAATGAATTAAGTAATTCATGATTTAGTTACTAAAGCCTGTAGTTATCCGAATGGAACCACTGCAGCCGAAGGAGAACCTCATTAAGTCACCTCATTATAAAGTGAACAATGAAATGATGAATCAGCCAGCATAATTGGCGTGGAACATCGCAGGACCGGCGTCTGCGCAGCCGGTGTGTGATCATGCGTTCGACGGCGCTGTGCCCAGGCACCGTAACAAATTGCCGTGGAACCAACCTTAAGAGCCGCCATTTGTTGTACATTGTCCACTTAGATAAAAACTTTAATTTATCGGGCTAGGAGCCTACCTTTTTTATTTTTAGTTAGATAAGTTATCGACGGGACTACAGTGGGCTCGTATTTTAGCAATGGTATTTTTTTTTGAGGGAAGTATAATCGAATGACTTCTTCCGCACAGGTGAGGCGAGAGAGTGTGTCAGACTTTTACTGACTATAACACCCCGTTCCTTCGAAGATCGAAGCCGCGGTGCCTTATTGCGCTCACCCCGCAACCTCGACTAATTTAAGCAATGGCATGGATTTAAATTTCTTTGTTTTAAGTAAATAACGAAGCCAAAGTAAATACCTTTACCTATATTTGGGTAAATAATTTCTGTCTGACAACACAATGCTGAATACAAATGTTAAAAAAAATTCTAAGTTACCATCATCAGTATAACTGTATCGCATTATGCCTATCTTAGAATGATTTGTTGTTCCAAACCTACTTACTTAAAAATGGCAAAACCGAAACAGTATTTTTGAAAGCAAAATTAAATAACAAAAGCATATATATTTAAAAGCACAGGTCTTATGCCTAACACAAGAGAACCTTATCACATACTACACAATAGGAGGGACAGTTGCATTAGACGCTCTCAGTATGTGTCCGGCTCTACCTGCGCACGCGCATAGCATGCCGCGAGCGCCGGCGCCGGCGGCACTCTCGCGCCGACAAGGGTGAAATTGCACAAAGGGATGGTGCTATTATGGCGTATACACGTTTTTTTCTCCGTAAAAATAAAGCTTTACATTAGCTTACAGATGTATACTTCTCATAACCATTGCAGCAACTTTCAAGAGAGAGTTTTCAGATAAGATTTTGAAATTTTGCTAAATTTTATAGGATATCTGAACTTAGATGTCGTTGACAAAGCAATCGATTTGGAACTTTATCATTTCATTAAACTAGCTTTATAATAACTATAAATATGGGGCTGAAAACCTTAATAACGAAAAAGCAATAAAACAAATGAAAGATATGTGATTAAAAACAAAAACTGGTTCAATATGACAATATGATTGAATAATGAATCACTGTAGATAACTCTACTCTACTCACAATTATTATATTCATAATTCAATGAAGTGGGAGCTCTTTATGTATGTATATGTATATGTGTGTATCTGTCTGGTGTGCGTTGTGTGGGAAACATCCCGCTGGGCTGCGGTGATAAAATGCGCATTTAAATGACACTTGATTAAAATTATACGTCCTTCATTGTTATCCTCGAACTAAGTTAAAGGTTTTTAAATTATTACCCATTTCTATAGGTTTCTTATTAAACGTAGCGTCGTAGATAAACTTTTATAAAAAAGACTTATAAGGTAGGTAATATCAAGTCCGTATCCGTGTACTATCGCAACCTCAAAATCCTTGATTTCTTTTTTTTGATGCGACTGCAAACTGGCAGACTCGCTACCTGGTGGTAAGCAATCAGCGCCTTTTATGGACACCCGTACTTTTTGGGGATAAGATTATTGCAGGATTGTAGGACGATAAGGATTCGGCCTCCAGTACCTCGTTCCACTCCCTCACACGGCGAAAAACAACGCTGTGACTGTTTCGCGCCGGTTTTCTGTGGGGGCTCTCTCATTGTACTGATATTATCTACAAATACAATACGTAACGTTACGATAAATCAAAATGACGTTAACAATTTGTATTGATGCTGTCAAATTACATTTGTATTATTGCACAAGGTCTTCTGTTATTTATGCTATCTATCATTAAAAGTGTTTTCTCTGTTCGAAGTCCAAATAAATCAATATAAAATTAAATGAAAGTTTTAGTAAATTGGATACAGAATTTGCCGGTAAACTTGAATCTGTATTAAGACAAGCTGCTATCAGTTTGGAGACACTGGCAAGGCTATCGACCTAAGCTAGTATTGATTTCTTTTAAATCGATGCACCAGCATTAGAATTTTTCTTATCAAGTTACACTCGGGGAAGAACAGGCGAGATTAAATTTTGTTATCAGATAAACAATTCTCCTAAACTTTTACAATTATACAACGTATTAGATATAGTTTATAGCCTATTAAATAAAATATATTGAATAGGTACTTTGTTCGAAGTAATACTAAAACGACTTGTGAAGCTTCGGGCCTATGGTCCTGGTCTGAACACATCGTGAGAACTTCACACACCACGATCTTGTCTCCCCGACCGGCGCGGGCGCCGACAGCTCTTATCACTACTTCATTATTTATTTATCGTTAATTAGTATCAGTTCTGTCTGTGAGAATATATCGTCACGTCTGATATTAAGTTGCGTTGAGAAACACATAGCAACTATTCTTAGGTTTTGAAAGTGTGATAGGCGGTTTCAGATTGTCTGGCGAGTAAGATCGATATAAAAATTAGTAAAACAGCAGCCTGACCCGTTTTAGACACATGGGGCATGGCGCTTACCCACATTTCGGAAGCAGAAGAATCTATAGATACATACTAATATTATAAAGACGTAAAATTTGTAAGTTTGTATGTAGGAGGTAATTCTGTAAATAATAAGGTCGAATTTCCAAAATTCTTTCACTAATTGAGAGCTACAATGTTCCCGAGTGCTATAAAATATCACGCTGCAGTCAAATGGAGCCGAGTAGCGGGAATAGCTAGTATAGAATAATTTTCAGGAAGTACCTAATAACAATTTCTGAATACATTTGGAGAAAAAAATCGCAGATATGGGCAAGTCTAAATAGTGCTAATCGGGATCTGAAGTCGCGACGAAGTGAAGAAATCGTGACGAGAGTGGCGCGATAATGTGTCGTGTGTAGTTTAACAAATAGTCACCATACAAGTGGTTTTACTTCACTAGGCGCGGCGGCATGGGCTGCCGTAACAATAACTTTGTTCCTTCGCCTGAATATGGCGTTACATGTAAGGGTTTCCTTTTGTGATCTCCTCTCATTATAAGTTCCAAACTGGTGCTGATCAATGCACAGTAATGTGCAGCCCTTTCATGTGCAGCGACACTTAGAGACTTTTTACACCACACGACACGATTTACTGTTAACACCGAACGATAGAATAATATTTTCAGGACTCTCCAAGCATTCTTTTATTAATTCTTAATGTTATATTTGTGTATTTTGTGTTTACCAAATGCCATCGTGTCTTCCTCATATTCAAGGTCATTTCCTAAAGTATATTAAAAAATGAGACTATCAAAATGTATACAATTATATTTTTTGAAATACTTACATACATATTTATTTGAGGTACCTATGTAAATTATCGACCTATCTAAGATTAAGAAAATGTGCAGATTATTTTACGATTAGGTATATATATTATAACACGTCATTTTTTATACAGTACTTACCTACTGAAACTTAAACTCTATATCTATACTAATATTATAAAGAGGTAAAATTTGTAACTTGTTTGTATGTTTGTAAGTTTGTATGTAGGAAGTATTGGAACCGCTGGACGGATTGAGAAAATTCTTTCACTGATATATATAGCTTTGTTCCTGAGTGCTGAGTGATATAGGCTATAAACCATCACACTACGATGATGACGACGACGAGCGGGTGAAACCGCGCAAGAATAGCTAGTACTTTATACATAATGTAGTCATAGAGTCGTTAC